TACATCTATAGCCACACAATGAGTACTATACATCAGTTACCAAGGAAAAAAAATGGGGAGTAGGTGTGATGGCTCACACCTGTAATCCCAACAGTGTGGGAGGCTGAGGAAGGAGGATGGTTTGAGACCAGCAGTTCTAGACCAGCCTGAACATAGCAAGACCCTGTCTCTACAATTTAAAAAAAAAAGAAAAAAATCTGGGTACTGATATGGAAACAACTCCAAGATATGTTACATGAAAAACAGAAGGTACAGGATAGTATGCTACCTGGTGTTAGAAAGGGGAAAAAGGCTAGGCACGGTGGCTCATGCTCGTAATCCCAGCACTTTGGGAGGCCAAGGCAGGAGGATCACTTGAATTCAGGAGTTGGAGATCAGCCCAGGCAACATAACAGGACCTTGTCTCTACCAAAAAAAAAAAAAAAATTAGGCAAGCATGGTGATGCACGCCTGTGGTCCCAGCTACTCAGGAGACCGAGGCAGGAGGTTACCAGAGCCCAGGAGTTCTAGGCTGCAAAGAGCTATGATCACGCCATAGCTCCCCAGTCTGGGCAACAGAGTGAGACTGTCTGAAATTAAGTGGGGGGGGGGGGGGGGGGGGGGGGGGGAAAAGGAAAATATTTTTTAATGTATACTCCTATTTGCTTGTATTTATATAAGAAACTTTGGACAACTGCCCCAAAACTAATAAAGGGGTAAAATATTTTAAAAAGCACACTTGATGTGCAGGATCTTGGTGGCCGAGGACAGCAGTGGGAACCAGACTGAACAGTCCTTTTCAGATAGGATTTTCATTTTTGAACCATGTGCAAACATTACCTATTCAATTTTTTTTAAAACCAAACATGAAAATATATAAATGAAGTCATATGTCATTTCTTTGACCCAAACCAGTGCCTTCTGATCTCACTAAAAGTGAAAGGCAAAGCGCCCTTATCACCCACAACACCTCCGAGCCCACTCTGGCTTCTTTGCCATTTCCTGAACATGGCAAGCAAATTCCAACCTCAGATCCTTGGCACTAGCTCTTCCCTCTACCTGGGGCACTCTTCCCTCCAGACAGCAGCTTTTCTCCCTCCTCCTTTACTTCCTTCAAATATCTGCTGAGTCATGCTACAGAAAATAGCACCCTCATTCCCCATTCTGCTTTTCCTCATAGCATCTCTCTTTGTAATGTATTAAATATATTTATTTACCATCTCTCCCACTCCCAAAATGGAAGCTTTATGGGGATATGGACTGTTTTGTTCTCTACCGCATTCCCTGAACCTAGAACAACGCCTGCCACATAGTAGTTGCGCAGTAAGCATTCACTCAATTAATATAACTATGGGGGGATTGAAGCATATGAGGAAGGTACTATTACTCTCATTTTACAGATGAGGAAATTGAATCAGAGAAGCCAAGATTTAAGTATCCAGTACATGAGTGTTCACTGACCTTTCAACTTTTGTGGGGCAAAGAAGGGTCTCTGGAGGATACCCAAATAAATAATTATAGCATTTGCCTTGCCTGTTTAGGTCAGACAGATGGGAAATAGTGGGTAGAGGAGCCTTCATGCCTTCTTACATCTTTTCTGTGGCCTACACAGGTCCATAGAAGAAAATAAATAAATAAATAAATAAATAAATAAATAAAGACTGAGCTTTGTGAATACTGTGTCTAGTTACAAAGTAAATTAATATTCTAAATATCAATAACCCAGATGTCCTACCACAAGTAAATGGTTAAAAAAAGTTTGGTACATACCATGGAACACTACTAAGCAAGAAAAAGAAATCAACTACTGATACATGCAGTGATTTGGATCAATCTCCAGAGGATTATGTGAGTGAAAAAAGCCAATCCCAAAAAATTACATATTGTATGCTTTTAAATCAGGGGTCCCCAGCCCCTAGGTCATGCGCTGGTACCGGTCCAGGGCCTGATAGAACCCAGGCTGCACAGCAGGAGGTGGGCAGCGAGTGAGCATTACCACCTGAGCTCCGCCTCCTGTCAGGTCAGCGGCAGCGTGACATTCTCACAGGAGTTTGTGAACTGCGCATGTGAGGGATCCAGGGTGCATGCTCCTTTTGAGAATCTAATGCCTGATGATCTGAGGAGGAACAGTTTCATCCCCAAACCACCCCCACTCCATCTGGGGAAGAACTGTCATCCACAAAACCGGTCCCTGGTGCCAAAAAAGTCGGGGACCACTGATTTCTATAACACTCTTGAAATGACACAATTATAGAAATGGAGACCAGATTAGTGGTTACCAAAGGTGAAGATGGGAGGGAAGTGGGGCAGCTAGAAAAGGGTAACATGAGGGATCTTTGTGGTGATGGAAATGTTCCGCATCTTGACTGAATCAACACAAATATGCTGGTTATAATGTAGCAGAGCTTTGAAGATGGTAGGTCTGGGGCAAACTGGGTAAGGGATCTCTCTGTGCTACTTCTTAAAATTGCATGTGACTCTATAATTGTCTCAAAATAAAAAGCTTAACAAAAATATATAAAAATCTAGGTTAAGAACATCTAGCCAGTACTTTTTGTTGTTGTTTGGTTTTTTCCTTCCAACTAGCCAGTATTGTTAACCCGTATATTATCTGGTTCCCTAGACAATGAAGAGTCTGCCATGTGAGGATCTGGAGAGAGAGGTGAGTTCCAGGCATGGAAACAAGCAACTGAGAAAGCTTAATAGGAGAACAAAACTACTATGTTGAAAAAAACAGAAAGTAGACCAGTGTCAGTGTCACTGGAGTATAGTGAGAGACGGATAGATGACAAAGACAAAATGAAAAGGATAGGCATGAGCCAGGTAATCTAAATCTTTACAGACTATTGTAAGGCGTAAGAATCTTATGTTTAAGTGGTATATGGGTAGAATCCAATAATTATTAGGTTTCTTTTTTTTTTTTTTTTTTTTTTTTTGGCTGAAGACAAGAATCCTATGTATCCAAGGAGACAATAAAAAGCGCAAGGAAATCGCAATACCAAACAGCATGAAATGAATTATGTAGTACTTGAGATAAGAAGTCGTTAAAATGCAACTTGTACATGGTAACAAGCAAAAGGCAAAAAGTCAAATTCTGGTCCTGACTAAATTCAGTCAGTCCTGCATTTCTTGGGTTAAGAAAAAAACTGTAGACTGGGCACAGTGGCTCATGCCTATAATCCCAGCACTTTGGAAGGCTGAGGCCAGCAGAGCACTTGAGGTCAGGAGTTTGAGACCAGCCTGGCCAACATGGTGATACCCTGTCCTCACTAAAAATACCAAAATTAGCTGGGCATGGTTGCACATGCCTGTAATCCCAGGTACCTGGGAGGCTGAGGAAGGAGAATCGCTTGAACCTGGGAGGCAAAGGCTGCAGTGAGCCAAGATCACACCATTGCACTTTGCACTCCTGCCTGAGCGACAGAGCGAGACTTCATCTCAAACACACACACACACACACACACACA